CAGCGGATTTAAAGGCGATAGATTAGTTTGAGGGCCTCCGGGAGTGTGTCGGGTTTTGACAATGGAGACGGTGCCAAAACCGCCTTTCCCGAGGGTTTTTCCGCGACTCCAATTTATTGTAATATTGCGTGCTCAATTATGTGCGCCGTTGTTATCACTTACCATGTGGTAAGTATTATGTTTATATAATATACTCCCTCCTATTTTTTTTAAATATCATTCTAGCTTTTTCAACTATTTGTCAAATAAATGTCGTTTTGGATATTTTGTACATATTTTTTTATTATTACCCTCATTTAGCCAATAAATACATTACGTCTTTTCATATTCACTCTTCACTTTTTCTCAAGACATTCATCTCTATCTTCATTAAATAAGGTTATTATTGACAAGAAAAATATTCTTAATTAGTGTGCAACTTCTCAAAACGACATATATTAAAAATAGAAGGTAGTATTTTGTTTTGAGTGGTCAATCAAATAGATTTTGCTAATACACCGACGCTCGTGTTTTCCTAATTTATCATCAATTAGGATCAAATATTTGGGTAAAAATTCTCTAGTAGGTTTCTGTGCGTCGCAAGCAACTTGCATTATCAAATTCCACGTGTTTTTTTCGACCAACAAATCTATCTATATTTATATAAAGAGACAACTTATTTATCAAAAATAGTAACAAGAAAAGTCAACTACCATTTATTGCATTCTATTTTTTGTAGTTTTTAATATAAAAAAGTAAAATTCTGAACTATAGAAAGTAATAGCCAAATTATAGGAAAATTTTAAATTTAATTTTCAATTTGAATTCGGCCCGATTTATATGCAATCCAATTTTTTTTTAATAAACATGATCTGTTACAATTATAGGTAAACATACATGTTATAGTATTTTGCCAAATTCAAAATTCCAAATTTTATGATAAACAATTTTTTTTAATAACAAATGAGAGAATTTTCACTTTTACCACCAAATTTTACATAATTTAGCCCAATTTCTATGCAATCGGATTTTTTAATAAACAATTAATCTATGCAATTAATAAAAGATATATATATATATATATATATATATATGTGTGTGTGTGTGTGTGTGTGCGTGTGTGTGTGTGTGCGCGTGTGTGTGTGATAGTATTTTCCTTAATTTGAAATTCTCAATTTTATGGTAATTATTATTTTTAAATAAAAAATGAAAATAAATTTTAACTTTTGTAGAATTGTAAGCATCAGTCAAAATTTACCTACATTAAATCTACAAAACCCATGAATTTAAGGTGCATATATATTTGATTGATTCTATAGAAATAATTTTTTTTTTTCTAAAAAAAAAAGAAGTAAAAACTACCAAATAGAATGCAATAAATTTTGACTTTTCTTGTTACTATTTTTGATAAACAAGTTGTCGAAAAAACACATGGAATTTGATAATTCAAGTTGTTTGCGGCGCACAGAAACCTACTAGAGAATCATTATCCAAAGAATTTGATATAAATTAGAAAAACACGAGCGTCCGTGTATTAGCAAAATCTACTTAATAAACCAGTCAAAACAAAACATATTATATAAACATAATACATGGTAAGTGGTAACAACGACGGACATAATTGAGCACGCAATATTACAATGAATTGGAGTCGCGGAAAAACCCTCGGAAAAGGCGGTTTTGGCACCGTCTCCATTGTCAAACCCCGACACGTTAGCGAGTATTGAAGACATAATTCCTACACTCTCCACAGGCACAGGCACATGCCGCATTCCAACAGTACTACAACCTTGCCTATAGTTCTTTGACTGTTGGAGGCCAAGATGTTACACAAATGGCGTCGTTCAGTCAAGTTCTATCCGAGAAGGACTACGTCCCATCCCAGAAGACACAGTCACACAAGACGAGGCATCAAATATTGGTTAAAATTGCTCCATTTATGAAGCCTATTTATGAATCCCTAGCATATATCTTGGTTAAAATTGGTGGCAGCAGTAGTGATTTTCATATCAGCAACAAAACTCCATAACATGGATCTATCTATAGTTTTACGGAAATTTTGAAAACCACAGAAGATAAAAACTCCATCAAGTATAATCATAATAGATATTGTCAAAAACAAATGTCTACCTGGAAGACAGAGAAAACAAAAGAAAAAGGATAGGACACTTACGAAAACTTGACTGATATAACGTTCGTCATAGAATGAGATGCATTGAGGAGATTTAGAAAATGAAGGTGAAGAGTCTGAAGAAGCAAAAACAATCTCTCTCCTCAGTGTTCGCCGGGCAATGACTTAATGATATCTGAGTCACCTACATTGTGAATAAACAATTAAATATAATACAAGCCATCCCATAAAACACGCAACAAAAGAAAGAGTAAATAATGGTTAAAAAAATCACGTACCTGGATCAACGATGCTTACGCACGAAACACGAAAGTACTTTCCACAAGCAGTCCCCAAATCAACATTATCTGTGGTATATGAAGAAAATAGGACTTAGTCTCTCATTTAGTTTTCATGTTCAAAATTTGAAACCTCAATATGCTATAAAGCAATTATAACAAAACCCAAATAAACTTTCGTAGCATCAAAAGTTCAGGCAATAGAGGATATACTCTGAACCACTTCGCAGGGTCTTTAAGAAAACACAAATTCTTGTGCAAGGCCGCCTAACTGTTAGGCCGGCTAACCCGTCATTTTTTTTTTTTTTTGTACAAAAAATGCAAACTTATGCTATGAAATGCCATACTTTTGTTTATATTGTTTTTTAGACCATGACATGTCTAAAAAAGCGGCATGACGTTTTAAAATGATGGTGCTGCAATAAAGATCTTAAAAACAAAAGCTTCCCATGAGTTTGTAGAAAATGCATTACGAAAAGAACAAGAAATTACAGAAAACACCAGCATAGCATTTACTTGATAAGTTCATACACTACATTATAAGCCCTCCGTGAAACATTATCCAACTTACATTACATTATACGTTTTAAACACTACATTA